CTGCCCCGAGAGGTCATTATTTCCCCTCAATCTGCCCCAGAAGATCATTACTACCGACTACATCTGCCCCAGGAGGTCATTATTGCCCATCTCTCTGCCCCGGTGGTTGAGTATTCCTCAACCATCTGCCCCAGAAGATCATTGTTGCCCAATATCAGCCCCAGAAGGTCATTATTACCCAAGGTATTTGCCCGAGGAGATCGTCGTTGCCCACTGTGTCTGCCCCAGGAGGTCATTATTCCAGAACAATCTGCCCCAGGAGGTCATTATTGCCCAACCATCTGCCCCAGGAGGGTAATAGTGACCTCCTAGGGCAGACACAATGGTCAACAATGATCTGGTGGGGCAGATGGTTGGACAATAATGAACTCCTGGGGCAGAACAATGGGCAATAATGACCTCCTATTGCAGGTGGTTGTGCAATAATGACCTCCTGGAGCAGATACATTGGGCAATATTGACCTCCTGGGGCAGATGGTGGGGCAATAATGACCTCCTGGGATGATACAATAGGCAATAATGACCTCCTGGGGCAGACAGAATGGGCAATAATGATCTTCTGGGGCAGATGGTTGGGCAAGAGTGACCTCCTGGGATGATATAATGAGCAATACTGACCTCGTGTGGCAGATGCAGTGGTCAATAATTACCTTGTGGGGCAAATGGTTTGGCAATAATGACCTCCTCGGGCAGATACAATGAGCAATAATGACCTCCTGGGGCAGAGAAAAGGGGTAATAATGATCTTCTGGGGCAGATGGTTGGGCAAGAGTGACCTCCTGGGATGATACAATGGGCAACACTGACCTCGTGTGGCAGATACAGTGGTCAATAATGTAGAGATCATAATAATGGAGATCACTGTTGCCCATTGTATCTACCCCAGGAGGTCATTATCGCCCAACCATCTGCCCCAGGATGTCATTATTACCCAATATATTTGCCCCAGGAGACCATTGTTGCCCATTGTATCTGCCCCAGGAGGTCATTATTGCCCAGTGTATTTGCCCCATGAGATCACTGTTGTCCATTGTATCTGCCCCAGGAGGTCATTGTTGCCCAACTATATGCCCCCAGAGATCATTATTATCCAACTCTCTGCCCCAGGTGGTCATTATTGCTCATTGTATCTGCCCCAGGAGGTCATTATTGCCCAACCATCTGCCCCAGTAGGTCATTATTGACCACTGTATCTGCGACAGCAGGTCATTATTGCCCAAAAATCTGCCCCAGGAGGTCACTGTTGCCCAACTATCTGCCCCAGGAGTTCATTATTACCCTCTCTCTGCCCCAGGAGCTCATTATTACTCGATGTATCTGCTCCAGGAGGTCCTTATTGCCCAGCCATCTGCCCCAGGAGTTCATTATTACCCTTCTCTCTGCCCCAGGAGCTCATTAGTACTCAATGTATCTGCCCCAGGAGGTCCTTATTGCCCAACCATTTG